AACGGAAAAAGCTAGAAGGCTGAAACTTTAGGATAATGTTCCCTACTCACGTATGACCAAAAGATTCTATATTCAGCTCCTTAAAACCGTCCAGTAATCACGTATGGACACGTGTAAATTTTGATGGGAAAATTGCTAACTCGGGAACGAGAAAAGCTGAAGGCTTTAATTTTAAGGAAATGTTCCCTACTTATGTGCAACTAAAAGATTTCAAATTTAACTCTTCTAGTATGGTCTTTATTGCGGACCAGCACCTTTCCATTTGCCGGATCACTGAAGCCGACATCTACAACTGACATACCGCATAGCTGCACAATCAACTTCCCGAATTCCGAGGGCCAGTATGTCACAGGACTAGCTACTACGATTTCTTGCGATTTTGCTATGGCACGAAAAGTGCAAAAACGCATAATCGCACCGGCCCGCCTGGCGCGTTCCAGCCTGGGTTTCGGAAATGCTTCTAGCTAAATAAATTAAGACTGGCCGCCAGAACTGACGGGAAATACCGCCTTAAAATTTCAGCTTTCAAGCTTTCCTGGCTCCTGAGTTAGCAGCTTACTGAAAAAAAAAATTTCACATGATCGTACGTGGGTATCACGCATACCAAGCGGCTGGGTTTGGACTCATCAGTACCTACTTGGGCAGGGAACACTCCCTAAAAATTCCAGCCTTCTAGCTTTTCAGGTACTCGAGTTAGCAACTTGCCCGAAAAAAACTTCGTCGGTCCCGCACGTGGGCACGACGTGTGCCCGAGAACTGATTTGAAGCTCATTAAGACTTACGTGGACAGGATACGTCCGCGTAAAATTTCAGCTTTCTAGCTTTTCTGATTCCCGAGTTAGCGGCTTACGCGAAAAAAATTATGGCGGACCCGTATGTAAGCACCACGCATACCCAGAGCTCAAGGAGACTTAAAGTTACAGTATTCTAGCATTTCAAATTCTCGAGTTAGTAATTTGCTCGAAAAAAATTTTGGCGGGCCCATACGTAGGTACCACGCATACCCGAGGGCTGGGTTTGAACTCGTTGAGACTTACGTGGACAGGAAACATTCCCTCAAAATTACAGCCTCCTGTTTTTTTAGTTTCCTAGCAGCTTACTCGAAAAAAATTTTGGCGAGCCCGTATGTGTGTACCACGCATACCCTGAGTCTGGGTTTGAGCGCAATAAGACTTTGGTGGGCGGGTTTGAGCGCAATAAGACTTTGGTGGACCCCACTAAAATTTCAGCTTTCTAGCTTTTCTGTTTCGTCAGTTAGCGGCTTACCCGCGAAAAACTTTCACGGGCCCGTACGTGGGCACCACGTGGGGAAGACCGCCCATTTTGGGGATGAGGGCCCATAAGTGCATGTAGATTAAGTCCCCAAAGTTTCAGCCCTGTAGCTTTTGTAGGTCTCGAAATGAAAAATCGGTGCAGAGGCCTTGCGCACACGCAGACATAAACACACACACACACACACACACACACACACACAGACAACCTCTCGTCGATATGCGTTTTCCGCATTGCATAACTGCAAAAAAAGCACAAAAATTATGTAAATTTTTTGGCGGGAAAACAATTTCCAGACAGGATAGGAAACTGGAACTTCACGTGAATATTCTCTGCCCATGTGTCAGTAAAAGATTTCAGATTCACTGATAAAGCACATCCACGTCTCACATACGAACATTTTGAAACTGAAATTCAGGCACTTTTTTCAGAAAGCCAATTTGGAAATTAGACAAAGTTGCTAATTAAGCTAGGAAACTAAAATTTTACAAAGATATTTTATGCCCATGCACGATCGAAGTATTTTAAGTTCAGCTTTAAAGCAATCCTAAGTCTTGCATATGCGCAAATGAAACAAATTGAACCACACTTGACATCCAGTTAACTCGGTAATCAGGCTGAGCAGGAAGCAGTATTTTCCAGCGGATGTTTGCAGTTTATGTGATGACCACAAAATAGTTCTTTGCTTACGTGTGCTTCGTGTAGAAATATATCAAATGTTCAAATTGCAATAATGTAATCACACTTCAGTGCAGGCGATCTCTCAGCAGGATGGGGTCTTGAAACACGCATTACCACACCGGCAATCCTAGTATGCGCCGCTATTAATTTGTAATTTGAGAGCAGTAGTAGCAGATCAGATTTTCTACTAATCTCCAGCCCTCAGAAGTGCTTTTTATGCGTTTTGACCGTGCAGCGCTAGAGCGCCGCAACAGACAGCAAAAACACATATTGCAACGACTCTGTCTGTGTGTTTATGTTTTTGTGTATGTGTATGTTTGCGTGTGTATGTGTGTACTTGTCTGTCCGGATATTTCCACTCATCAACCACGCAGAGTTTTAAACTGAAATTTAGCAATGTGTTCTCTGGCCGAGTGCAGTCCCAGGAGCTTGATATCAACTGTCAAGCACGTCTATGTTTCACGTTCGAACACGTGAAAGTTTTGGCGGGAAATTGCTAGCTCGAGGATGAGAAAAACTGAAAGGCTGAGATTTTTAGGGAATGATCCTTACTCATGTGCGATTAAAAGATTTTAAATTCAACTATTCTGGTGGGGGTTTTTTTCGCCCACCAGCAACTTTCCGCTTGTCGGATCACTGAAGCCAACATCTACATCTGACGTGCCACATATGTGCAAAATTAACTTCCTGAACGTCGAGAGTCAGTATGTCACAAATTTTAGCTAATGTGATTCCTTGCAGTCTTGCTACAGCACGAAATAGTGCAAAAATGCATGATCGCACTGGTCGGCCTGATGCATTCCAGCCTGGATTTGATTTCTGAAAACTGTGGCGTATATTCATCTTCTAATCCAGACACGCGTAATTAACAGCTTCATCCAAATTTAAGCTGGTTGCCTGTAACTTGTTCTCTTTCATGCCTACATCGCTTTGTGAGTTGAAATTTGCAGCATTTAGTTCGTTTCAATTGCGACAAGAATTAAATCATCCATTAAGAAAAATTGGCTGAACTGTTCGCCACTGTCAAGAGCTTAAGCGCTGCCAAACAGTGATCAGTGCTATGTCGACTTTTGTGTAACCAAAAAGTTCTCAGAACTCCTTCATTTGCTGGACCTGGCACCTTAGTAATATCCAGACTTGACGAAACAATGAGAGCTTTCCAAAATCCTAAGTCCCCAATTTCTAGCTTTGATGCGCTCGATATTAATTTCATCACTGAAGGAAATTCCCTTCATCTGGAAAATTGTACGTGGCTACGTGATATAAAAGACGATGAAATAGAAATGCAAGAAACTGACTGCTGGTGAAAATGTGAAGACCGCATATCTATTTTGCCTTCACTTTTTTTTTTTTTAATATTTTGCATAAAAAAGAGAGCTCAACCCAAAACTAACTGCTATAAAGTGAGGAGTGTAAACGTGCAACTTCATTATTATAAATGATTTCTAGCATGTTTGAACACTATCCGGACCTCCGTCAGTACTTCAAAGGGGCAGAAAATTTTACACCGGATGATGTACAGATAAGTGATCGATTCGCTAAGCAAGGTTTTTCAAACTTTTTAAAGTGCTCAGAGATAAGCATGCATTTTGACATATTCATTTTATGCATTTTCGCTACGCAGCGATATTACGCTCTTCCAGTAAGTAACCTAAGTAGCGACGCACCAAGTTTGCCGGTGCGATCGTGCTTCTCTGTACTAAACTTGAAACAGTTTCAGATCGCTAACAGAATGAACTGTTGCTGCGGAGTCATGTTGGTTCTGTTTTAGCCTTTCCTTGCATGCAGGAGGGAAAGGACATCGGCTGATACGGTAGTACTGTATCATGAGGCTGCGTGAAACTTTGAACTCCGATATGCATGAATATTATAAATTTTGCAGTGACGATTTTTCTTCGAAAAGTACAAGTTAAACAATGAACAGGATATCGAGGGACAGAGGGATAACGAAAATCGCAAAATGCACTCTTTTGGGGTTGTGATAAAACCAAGTGCTTGTCATTTGCGTGTGCAGAGAATTCCCCTCGATATCCTGCTCATTGTTTAATTTGTACTTTTCGAAGAAAAATCGTCGCTGCAAAATTTATAATATTAAAGCCTCCAAGCTGAATTTAGACTAAACGCGAATACACAACAATCTTACAAAATTTCAACAATGCAGCTTGTCCAATACCCAAAATTATCACTTCGCTACAAACATGTTTTATGTGCCCTGGGGTGTAGCGCAAATGCAATTAGAAAGTCCATTTAGGTTTGCGATTTCCCACATGAATGTCCAGTATTCACACACTCAATATTCACTCTTCGCCTCTATGCAGTTTGGAAATTTTAAACTTAGCTTTGCGGCATACCTGGAGGTTTTGTTCACGCGCAAGCTTATAAAGCACGAAATTAACTTCGGCTTTCGTGTGAGCCCTGGTCACGGACATGTCAGTAGTTCAAACTGCGACACTTTTGTCATCCTTCTTTCTCAACAGTCAGGCAGCCAAGAAAACAGAATTTTACGAAAATGTTGGCGTATCTTGTACCTTACTAAAAGTGTATAATCAGCTTTCTAAAATACAGATGTCCAGCACACGGTCCTATGATACAACACTGCAACATTCCAGTTATACCCCTTTTTCCTCTCACATGTATGAAAAGGCAAAAACATTGTCTGCATGAGTGCACATGTTAAACTGTAAACCAACGATCATTCATACTTTTGGCGATCTGACTGTTTCAAGATTTGTGTAAAGACACAAAATCGCATCAGCAACTTTGATGTGTCTTGTTACCTGAGTAGATAGATTCGCAAAATAAATAAATTTACAAAATTCGTGTAATTTTGGAAATTACCGTCGTTGGGTCCTCCGACAATACCTATCAGGATTAATGCGATCGGACGTCGAGGATTACAGATGTTAAGATTTTGTTTCATTTGTAGAAGCACACATAACATCCGTTTGCTTTTTAAACAATTTGGAATTTGCAATTCAAGAACGACTGAATGAACATTGTAAGGCTGCACAAATAGGTCTATTGCTACCTCAAATTTTGAAGTTCTAATAGAATAAAAATTTTGGAAAGAACCACTGCAGTTTCAGGGCAGCGACTTTTACTTGGAACTCGAATTATTGTGGACACGTACGATGATTTGGATACATTCAAAGCGTATGCTCGCGAAACGGTTAACCGCCATATCAAATTCAAGATGGATCGCAATTTATGGCTTGTAAATTTTGTATTTTTTTGCGTGGTGGGCGGAGTAGTTGATGCAATAATTTTCTCGAAGAAAAGCTTCGCATCGAGATCAGGGTGATTCCAAAAAAACCAAATACATATGAGACGCTAAAAAAAATGAATTTTAGAGAAACAAAATAATAATTTTACATGTGAAGATTTTGAGTTTATTCCGGGCACCACTGACCTGCCTAAAACTCAGGCATTTTCAGATTCACGGGTATCTTTACGCAACTGGCACATCCATTGTTGTTATTATTTTTCTCTCTTACCTGCAATGATTAAGTTTAGGTAATTATGCATGCCCTCATTAAATCCCTAACAAACTATGAACCCCATTTAAATTTAGGCGTTTTTCACGGTGATGATTGAGCACTTAAAAGAGCACACAACGATTGATGTGGAAACAGAAAAAGCGTGGTTGCAGATTGGAAAAGAATTCGCGGATGAAGCTGTCAAGCACTCATTTGATTTGAATTTGCCTAACTGACTGATTCTTCGCATACCACTTAGATACCTTCTCTTTTTGTAACTTGCAGAACAGCTTGTTTAGTACGTATTCTGCGGATTTTTGGGAAATTTGACCACATCCCTTTGTCCGGCATGACTGCTTGCTCCCAGTCCCTTTGATTATTCTTGAGCCAGATACTCTCCAGTTTGCGGCAAAATGCTTGTTGCAGTGTTACCTGAAACTATTATGGAAAGTTTTTAACTACATATCTTGTATTCAGAAAGCCGCACTGCAAAATCCATTTTCCACAGATTTGTAAACTTACTAGAAAATTGACTCGTCCATTCCCTATCTCACTTTCCAAACCAACTTTTTGCGTTCTTTCCTCTCCCCTGTCCCCTCGTTCTTTTCCTTCCCCCTCCACCCTCAACTTCTTCCTGGCTCTCGACATGTTCATCCACAAAAACAATTTAGGTGTATTACGCAGCATTTGTGCAAGTTTGCATTTGCTTATAGGAACATACAAGTCCTTTGACTCTACTTTGTATTAAACATGTTTCAAAAGTCTTCAAAAGAGACAGGTAAGGACAGTCCTATCAGCAGTAGTTCGTGCTTGCTACCTCCGGACCCAGTGCTCTAGTCTCTCATAGAGAACGAAAACGGAGGAGGTTCTGACTAGTTAAACCCTTTTCGCGTCCAACAAAGCACTTCGTAAATTCAAATTTGCCTTCCTTTCGAGCTATCATGTTTGCATACTCTATGCAGCTTTTTATGCGTTTTTGCATATGTGCAAAATGTAAAAACGCACATTGCGAAGAGGCTGTCTGTGTGTGTGTGTGTGTGTGTGTGTGTGTGTGTGTGTGTGTGTGTGTGG